ACGTTCGCAGTCCTGTCGTTTGCCAGCCCGACGCCTTCCTCAGCCAGTACGTCTGCTGTCCCGTTGCCTTCGATGCCCTGGTGGCTGGGAACCCAATAGATCCGCACTGACTTAGTCGTGCTTAGGAAATCTAATGCCTCCCTGACCAGACCCTGCCAGGACATTTTTGGAACTGACCGCTGACGACTGCATGGATCTTATCGCCGCCTGTCTGTCCACGAACAGGTTGATCACATTATGTGGGCGTACCGTACATCGAGCAACCTCCGCCGCTTTCCGTATGGCAAAGACTTCTGCCTGGAATATGCTGCATTGGTCCGGTAGCTTATAGGACAGCCTTATTTCAGGGTCTGTACAATATATGCCCGCACCTACTCCTTCCTCCATCTTGGAGCCATCCGTGTATATTTTGATGTGTTGGGTCTGGTCCCGACCCCTTTTCCAGTCGTCGGGTCCCATAAATGAGGTTGTGTTTACGTCCAGGCAAGTTTGGGGGATAATGTAGTCAGATATACTGGTCATGTCTCGGCCAATTGAACTGTGCCCGAATCCCTGTAGAGACATGTTTCCTGATGCTACTAAGCGTTGTGCCGCCTTTGCTGCAATCAGTTGAGCGTGGATGTCCAGGGGGTCGATTCCGATTATGGTTTCGAGAGCTTTTGTTGGGGTTGACCTCAGCGCCCCCGTAATGCAGAGCAGTGCCTGCCGCTGGGTCCTTTCCATAAGCTTATTGTACGTCTTCTTTTCTGTCGCTTGCCACCACACTAAGACTCCGTACAGCAGAGTCGGTCGCACCACCGATATGAAGATCCAGTGCATTAAGAGGTGACAGGCCCCATGTGCTGCTGAGCATCTTCTTGGATGCGTATAGCGCAATGGTGGCCTTCTTCACCCTTTCCACTACATTGGGTCTCCACGCCAGCTTGCTGTCCAGTACTATGCCGAGGTATTTGACTTGTGTTTTAGGGGTCAGACTGGTTTTTTCAATTTTCGGGGGGATCCATGCCGGTACCTTGTATCTCTTGGTGAAGAGAATGAGGTCCGTCTTGTCCGCGTTGATACTGAGTCCTACTTTTCCTGCCCACTCACATATCTCCCTGAGTGTTGATTCCATTATGGAGCTGAGGGTCGATGGACATACTCCCGTAATAATTATGCTTATGTCATCTGCATAGGCTGTTATTTTTGGGGCTCTCCTCTCGAATCTCTTTATTAAGTCGTCGACCACCAGGTTCCACAGGAGGGGCAACAGGACCCCACCTTGTGGTGTGCCTCTATGCGCCCCCCTCACCATGGAAGCGGTGCCCCACTCTGATTGCACCCGTCTGCAACTTAGAAGGTTCTTTATCCAGAGGTTGATTGCGGGATGTGTGTTGGTCGCTTCTAGGCGGTCCATAATAGCGTTCGTAGTGACGTTGTTGAATGCTCCGGATATGTCTACGAACACTCCTAGAGCATACTTTTTATTATGGAGGGCTCTCTCGATGGTGGCTACTAGCGAGTGTAGTGCCGTCTCTACCGATTTCCCTTTGGTGTAGGCATGCTGGTTGGTTCACATCAGTCTCCCTACATCATTCCTGATGTGTAGATCCAGCAGCTTTTCTAGTGTTTTGAGTAGAAAGGAGGTGAGGCTTATCGGTCTGTAATCCTTGGGGCTCATATGGCTGCACTTTCCTGCCTTTGGAAGGAAGACAATCCTCGAGGTCCGCCATTGAATAGGGATATAGCCCGTGCTCAGGCAAGCTGAGTATATATTGCAGAGAGCCATGGGGTGATCACGTCTTTGGTCACCTGTAGCATGGGAATATACCGTCTAGTCCAGGTGCTTTTGTACCCGCAAAGGGGTCTATAGCCCAGTGGATTTTCTTAGACGATATGAGACCTGTTGGGGGATGCTCTTCCTCAGTTGCTAGGTCCTGATGCGTTGTAGCGTCAGCAACCTCGGTGCATCCTGGGAAGTGAGCTTCCATTAGTGCTGTTAAGGCTTCTTCACTGCCCTCAGTCCACTGTCCATCTTCTCGCTTCAGCTGACTCTGTATGGTAGGTTGCTTTGATAGCAGCTTCCGATGTCTAGCCGTTTCTGGGACTTTCTCGATATTGGAGCAGAAGTTCCTCCACGAGTTTCTTTGTGCCCTGCGTATTTCCTTCTTGTACTCCCTGAGTAGGGTTTTGTATTCCTCATTGATTATATCCTCGTTCGCCTGTTTGGCGATTTTGAAGAATTCTTTGAGGTTGTTTCTTTGGAGCGATAGGTCCTGGTTCCACCAGAGTGGTTTGGTCCTCTTTTTCGTTCTCGAGGGTGGGCACGATGCGTGGTACACATCCAGTAGTTCCTTGGATAGGGTCTCTAGGGACGTTTCTATGTCTTCCGGGGATTTCACTGTGCCCGGACGATTCGCGAGCTTCGAGGTAACTGTCTTTTTAAACTTTTCCCAGTTTGTGTTCCGGGGGTTTCTATAGACAGTTATCTTCGGAGAGTGTTCAAATTCGCACTTAAACTGGATGTACCTGTGGTCTGAGAAGGATGGTCTTTCAAGGACTCTCCAGCCAGATACCACCGTACTTGTTCCCGCTACGAGTGTTAAGTCTAGCACGTTTGAAGAGGTGGGACCTACAAAGGTGTATTCCTCTCCTACGTTTGCTACTTCTAGGTTAGTTGATAGTATGAAGTCTAGGAGGGACTCACCTCTATCGTTGATGTCGGGGCTTCCCCACACGTTGTGATGTGCGTTTGCGTCCGTACCGACGAGAAGTTGCTGGTCCTTCGGGCTGGATTCCGCCACTAGGTGCATCAACTCTTCAGGTGGAGCTGGCCTGTCGTGTGCCATTTAGCAGGAGGCTACCATCAGGCGCCTTTCCTTGCTTTCTAGCATCACCACGGTTAGATCGTCAGTGCTGTAATGAGACATAAGGTGAGCATGGATTCCCTTCCGTACGAGTACGGCGGTTCTGTTCCTGCTTACCGATGGTGGATAGAATACGTTAAAATTTGAGGACTTTAGCCCGGCCACAGCATTGCCTGAGGCAACCCATGGCTCCTGGACTAAGGCTATGTCGGCGGGCCCTTGCTCCATGGCAAAGAGGAGCTCCGCCGACGCAATTTTACTTTTGTGGAGGTTGAGCTGCAGCACACTCACCATGTGCGTCTGGCTCAGCTCCACTCGACGGGTTGACTACTACCGTCAGGTCACCGTCCTCCCCCTCTTCCTCCGAGTCCAGCGCAAGACCCTTTGCGGCCTCCACGATGGTGTCCAGACCAAGGTCCTTCTCCACCTCGCCCGCCTGCAGAGTGTGCGCATCTTTGTCCTCGGGGTGGCACTTTTTCAGCCGCAGGTACACACTGCCTATCCCCCACGCCATCTTCCCGAATCTTGGGTATAGCAGGTCCTCTGCCTCCTTGCTGATCTGGATGATCGCACTCTGGCCCCCCTCGTTGGGTAGTGGGCTCCCGATATGCAGAATCCTCCAGTTAGCCGTTGGCACATCGGGGTTCTGCCTCTGTAGCAGCTTCAGCGCACGGTCCCCTTGGATTACGATGGGGAAGAGTACCTTTGCCTTTGGTATGGACGGGATTAGCTCCCTGTCCACCACCTCCAGCTTGGCCCCCTCCCACAACGCTTCCAGTTGGCAGACCGTTTGCGTCAGCCACTTGAGTGTGGGGTCGTCCATACATTTAAGTATTTTCACCCCGTTGAGCCACCCTGCACCATCGAACGTGGGCATGGGGGCCGTTGGGTCCTCCTTCTGGCGAACAGCGCATCCACGAGCCGAGCGTGCACCATCTTCCACCGCGCCGCCGTTATTTTGCCATTCTCTTCGCTCCGGTCAATGAGTGCCACGATTAAATGTCGTTTGGTCACCTCACTGACCTTCGCTTTTTGGGGACGTTTCGCCTGTTTGGGTGTGGGGGCTGCCACCTTGGGCCCGAGTTGCCGCTTGCTCACCGGAGTGTCGTTCTTGGCACTCTCGGTCGAGCGTTGCCTTTTGGTGGCGAGACTCTCCTCCACCTTGTTGGCAAATCCCTCCGTCGATGCCTTCATCTGCGGCATCTGCGAAGAGTGCAGCCGGCCCTCCTTTATCCGTTGTTCGGCCCAGGTCATTTTGGCCTTCTCCTCCTCAGAGAGGTCCTTCCTGCCCTGGAGCCGTCCCATGATCTTGAGGGCCGCTTTGTAATGCGCCTTCGCCTTCAACCCCTCCTTGGAACGCTTCGGCCCTTCCCTACGCAGGGAGCTGGAACCTGGTTCCGGGGAGCGGAGAAGGCTTTCTTCCTCCGTCTTGGTTACAGAGAGCACGCTCTCCAGGTCCGAGTCTGTATCGACCACGGCACCTGTGCGGCTCAACTTGGAGTGCGTTTTTGTGGCAGTGACATTGCAACTGATATGACCTGCTCCCGTCCTATCAGAGGTGTGGCCGCTGGCGACACGCAAAGAGGATTGCTCCTCCCCGTGCCCGCCGGTGGTAGCAGCCACGCTTTCCAACGACGTTTGGGTTGACATCCCAACCCTTGTTTCATCCTTCGTCCGCTCCATTGTTGGCCCAGTGGGTCCATGCTGGTTAATATTTTTCGGGGGGACCACCCCCTAGCGTTTTATGCCTACCCGCCAGGCACCTCCAGCCATGGCCATGGTTCAGTTCCCCCAAATTTTTGGTCGGGAAGACCTGGACCTGGCCTTGGCTAGACACTGCATTACCCCGGACAGAGCAAGCGGCAATGCATTACCCGATTCGGGATAATGCAGTGCCCATTGCCCAGCCGGCACCCTCTGGGAGGGTTCAGCTGGAGGATTTTCGCCGGCCATGGGCACCAATAAATATGTACAAAAAAAATATTACAAGAGTAAAGCTGCTGTAGTTAAACACAAGGTGGGTGAGCGAAGAAAGGCATCAGACAAAGTTAGATGCAAAGTTTAGAGGTCCATTTATTATATTAGAGACTCTTGATGGGGATCGATGTGTTGAAATCTTTGAATACGTACGAAAAATGCCAGAGGGTCGCATACCGAATGAATTGGATATCACTGGAGAAGATATAATTTTGCCTTAGAGTCCAGTTGGGACTGAGCCGCTTGAAAGGGTTGATGAGTAGTCCCGTCCAGTAAGGATGAAGAGTCCAGGTGAGACTTATCGTATTCCGTCCAGTACGGATGAAGGGTCCAGGTGAGACTAATCGTATTCCGTCCAGTAGTGATGAAGAGTCCAGGTGAGACTTATCGTATTCCGTCCAGTAGGGATGAAGAGTCCATGTGGGACTGAATAAGTAAACGAATCAGCCGGGTCAGCTATGATGATTGCATACTGATTATACAGGTTAAAATGAAAAGGTAGTATTTGAAAGAAATCGAATTTGAGTTATTTTCTATTTTGATGGAATTGTAACTTAGACGAAAAAAATATTGAAAAAGTTGGTGTGACTATATTAAAATGAATTTTGTAATTTTCGTTAATGAAAAATAACAGGAAGAATGTTAAGCAAAAACTGATTTAAAATCTAAATGTAAACATATTCTCATAGAATATTCTCTTCGTTTAATAAAAGCCTAAACTGTATTATTTTATGTCAATGTTATTTATTGGACACTGTAAGACAACTACACGAGGACGTGTAATTGTCAGAATGGCCGTGTCGGATCAAATAATATTTTGTCCTGTCGGGTGATTTTATTGTTCTCAGTGTATTATTACTGTTTCCTTTGTACTTCGCTCTTTGTCGTATGTTTCATCTCCTTGGCCGAGTTGCAGTTGTTTCTATATCGCCCAGGTGTTCATTAGCGAGTGTATTCTGAGAAACTCGCTCGGACAGGATAAAAGGATCGAGAGAAAGGGAGCGAGAGAAAGGGAGCGCAAGTCGAGCGTGTTCCTCTGCGGTGGTGAGTGTGAGGGAGGCAGATATAGAGACAAAGAGAAATTGCGTAACGAGTAATAATTGTCTCGGAGCTCTGGTTTGCAATACCGAGAAAGTAGTTGCGTTGGAGAGTTTGCCCACACCACGAGTCAAGCAGAGTAATTCTCTATTGACGTATAACCCTTGTTAAAATGGCAGATCCAACCAAGGAAAATATTAATCCAACATATATATATACTTGATCAGCATCAATAGCCGAGTCTCTGTCTGTATGTCCTTCCTGATGAGCGCCTAGTTCTTGAGCCTTGTTTCCAGACTGCTACAAGTGTATTTCAAAATTTCGCCCCGCCGCACAGTGTATCGAAGTGCACTGTTTTTGGACAAAATTGAGCCGACAGCTCAAATGATGTCTGATTTTGAAAATTTTATTTTTTATAAAGACTGCAATGTAGAATCGTCATTGAGTATGTATAATTTACATTTTATATGTGTAATCGACATTGTAGATTTAGATAGCAGATGTAGCAAAAAAAAAATTTAAAATATTTTAAAATTATATATAAATCATAAGTTCACAAATTTATATACTGACTTAGTACGGGTACTCAAACGTTCCTTCTCGTTTAAGTTAGTTTTAAAGAGTTGCCAATTCTTGGCAGGCAGACCTTGTAACTGCATTTATTATGTGTAGTTAAACCAAACAATGACTAAAATCAGCCAACATTTGAGCTGTCGCCAGAACTTTGTCCAAAAAAGGTACAAGATACAAAAGATACACTGCATAGTGGCCGCAGTAGCAAAAGTTGGGGCATCAAATAAACTGCAGATCCCAGGGATTTTAAATTTGATACAGTTAATTAAAAATACATATAAAAATTGCGAACATTTTTAGATTGATTGGACCACGCCCCTACGCCCATATTAAATATATATTATAAAATATTATTAAAATATTAAAATTCTTTGAACTTGATACCAATCTATGTATATAATTTATAATTTATAGTAATATTTTTAAACATAAAATTTTATATTTTTTTTACTTTCATTCTCAAATGAAAAGGAATTAATACAAATATTCATTATCAGAATTGGAATCTATATCAAATTAAATTTTGTCCCCGCTTATTATAACAGCTGACTCAGCGAAAAGAGCAATCACTTCTGACGGAAGCTCGCTATTAAGGAATCCGAAGAATCCAGTGCGTGGTATATTCTGTATATATAAGGAGGCAGTTTTATCATCATGTCATCGTCTTAGTCAATGTTTTATGTTAAGATTATTTTGAATTCTTGAAGTCTAGTGTAAGTAGGTTAGGGCAAGGCGGGAGCGCAATAAAAGCTCGCTCTTTCGCTCAAGGCGAATTCGCCCCGCTTTGCCACCGTAGGTTAGCTAGGCATAGAATGAATTGTAATGATTTTTAGAATATAATTGTTCAAATTGAATTCGAGCGAGCGCACCGAGAACTTCTTTCGTCACGCATTTTTAATAAAACTTTACGCCACCCAAGTATTTTCGGTCTTTCGCATTTACAAAAACTATTCTAAATTTTCAAAAGCTATGAAACTTTTGAGGAATTATTTCAAAGAAATAAGAAATGGCAATTAAAATTGTTTTGAAGCATTCAATAATTTTTAAATAAAATTCTAATATAGAGGAAAATAGTTGGTTATTTTCGAAAGTCCTCCTAGCAGTATGCCAATCTAATCCAATCCAAATGAAACTGTAATATTTCTATCAGCAATCTCATTAATACGTACGGTGATTAATTTTGAACGTCTTCCTTTACTCTGTTGTTTATTTTCAAAATATGTTCTTTAATTTCCTTTATAAATTATGACTAAAACTTCTTTTTGAAACGTTATTATCCTCTTTGCATTGTGATTTACCATATTTTGTAATGAAACTTGAGCCATGGTTTCCGTGACTTCAATGTCAACTTAGCTTTGTAGACTTTATCATAGCTGGGTAATATTTCATAGCCTTGTTTCCGTATTAAAGTCCTTATGCTGTTGGACTGCCTTTTGGTAAAGGAATTCTCCAGTAAAAATTCTAAAGCTTCATCTTCGAAAATTGGAACGGGCTTTAGTATGTTATCACTTTTTTTTGGGACATTGGGCATTGGGCATATTGGGTTAAGCATGGCAGTCCTTTCGAATATCTTATTAAATCATCTTTATCAATTTGCAATGTCATTTTTCCAGCAAGCCACTTTGGATGTTATTCTTTAAATCTTGTTATTTTCCTTTCCAAACACCCAATTGGAAACCGTTTTGAGCCCACCTTGAATCCAAATCATTTCATCTTTACTAAATTCGAACGTGCATATCTACAACATTATCAAATATTTACCAAACGCGCAAAAATAATTAGATACACTAAGTTAAGCACACATTAACGAACATAAATTCAATATTGGTCCCGAGAAGGAGCTACAATAGTGCCAACTTTTTCTCCGCTAAATACTTGACTTATAGGTTAGGTTTGCCAAAAAAAAACAACACGACAATACCACGTAAAAGCAAAGTCAAACCACATACCAACACTAACATTGATATGCATATCAAATTCAACATAGCTTTATTGATGTTTTCATTTCAAAGAAATTGATATAACCAAAGAAAAACGGTTTAAAATGTAATGAAAAATCAAGTTTACCAGCTGCACTATAACCTCAAATAAACGAAGCTAAAAATCAGCGGCCTTTAAGGGCTTCGCAAAACTACTGCACAAAACAGTTTTGAAAATTGTATTTTTATCCCTTTTTGTAAATTCTATCATAATAAGAAAATATCGTTTCTGTATTTAAAAATTTATATTTTGGACTCTATGCCCTAACTATGGAAAATCCGGCCTCTGTGCACTGTGGAAAGTGGCAAATTTTTGAATCAAACTTAATTCAGTGTGATCTCACATGAGTCTGGAAACAAAATTTGGTTGCTCTAGCTCTTATAGTCACTGAAGAGACTAGCAAGACGGACAGATGGAGCATGTAGATTATACATGTACCATTTAGATTCTACATCTTCTTGGCCAGCGGGCGCTCGCGTACATAACGAGGCAGAGTGTGCGAGCGAGAAAGAGAATGAATAGCGGGTATCATGCTGGAGGAGGTGGGGGAAGCAACTGAAAATTAATTTCTTCATTCTGGCTATAATTATGATCCGATCTGATTGAGATTCGGCAATCTGGTAGATATGGTCATTCTCTACAATACTGCATTTAGTTTTATCGTATCTTTAAAATTGTGCCTGCCACAGATTTTCGTCCTTTGTGGGTCGGAAGGGAGCGAGGCGAAATACACTTGTAGCAGTGTGAAATCACATGAGTCTGAAAACAAAATTTGGTGCTCTAGCTCTTATAGTTATAAGCTCACAAATGTATATACTACGCTGGGCAAAAAAATTTTGTTTTCGAAATTCAAACGGGACACCCTCCTAGTTTTTTTACCTTCGATTTAATAGTAGTTTAAATGTTCTTATTTTTTTTTTTTTTGACGCTGCTACCTAATTTTACAAAAAATTTGATTGAAGAAAATAAAAAAAAAATTTGTTTGCTTAATGAGTTGGATAACACTACTCGACAAAATTGAACTTTTTTTTTAGGCTGTGAACCAAAATGACTTTTTCTGATAGATTTCGGGATTTTAAAACTGTTTGGTTACGCAGCCAAATAGTGGCCAAATGCATAGATTATAGCCAGTGGTGCAGCAGTAGAGTAAATCCTTATTATTGTTCGTTGTTTGCACTGCCCACTGTACTAAATTGTCATTTACCTACAAACTCATGCACGCATTCATGCTCCCTCACCGCAGCAACCTATGCAGCCGTCCTCTCTTCCCTCCTCCTCCCACACCTTTCTTTCTATCGCCTTTCGCTATTACTCTCTCGATCTTTCGCTCTCTCGCTCGCATTAGGGCACGGGCAATTCGCCCGCCTGCCCTTTGAATTAGTCTTGATCTTGCAATCACTGCGCATCGTCTTGGAATCGAGCTATTCAATCCGACACCGTCTTGAACCGACCCCCGCGTCTTCAATCTGACCCCGTCTTGAATCCAGCTAACTATCCGTTCGACTCTGTATCGCTTATTTACTTCACCACAATAAACTGTGAATATATATATTGAACAATCATCGCCTTTTTAATAGTATCGCAATACAACGCTACTGAAGAAGCTCAGTAGCTCAACATTTGGTGACCCCGACGTGATATAAACATAAACTCTTTAAATTGTATCACAAAAAACATTTTCGTTGGATAAATTCGCTTTGAACCACGGTGTTTCGGTTCATCGTTTGTGCACAAGCAACAGAAACGGTTCTCGCGTCATCTGCTTTGCGGTCTGCTTGCTTGCTGTTGTTTCGTTTCGGTTTCGTGCTCTCAGTGTGCATGCCTTTGTTGTTGTCGGATGCACAAGTGCAGTGCGTTTCAAACTGTTAGCTCTCGCTGCTGCTCTGTAAAACTGCAAGACTGTGTGTTTTTAAACGCTGCGATCGATTGTACAGTTCGTGTAAAACTGTTCGAGGTTATTCACCGGCTGTTAACCTCTACACTCTCTCAGTGACTCTAAGCCCAGCTTTTCTATTGAACATACACGATGGCTTCTAATAGCACCCCTTCGATCTTGCCCCCCTCACCATTGTTCGTTGATTCGGAAGCTGCATTCTACAAGCGCAAGGTGCAATCCATGCTAGGGGCGGCACGGAGAATCGAAACGGCCGTCGGCAAGGAGAGGATTGGCGAGCTCAGTGAGGAGGAGCTGAACGTGAGGCTGAAGCTGCTAGCGGATCTTGTAGCTTCATTCAACGAGCACCATAATGCCCTGGAGAAGATTGATCTCGATGAGATCGGTAGTCCCTTGAGGGATGAGTTTGACGAGTGCGTGGTCATGCTGGAGATTCGCATGAAGCGAGAGTTAAACAAGCGGCAGCCCACAATGCTACCATGTTCAACAATGCGGGCGGACCATGTAGGAGAGGCCCCAACTACGGTCGTCGTGCAAAGTCGGCCACGCCTGCCGGAGTTGAAGCTACCTGAGTTCGGTGGGGGCTACGCTCAGTATTCCTCGTTTTGGGGCATGTTCTCCTCCATTATAGATAAGGACCCTGACCTTACGAATGTCGAGAAGCTGCAGCATTTACGATCATGCCTAAAGGGACCAGCGCTGGACACGATCTCGTCGCTGGAATTTAGCCACGCCAGCTATCCTATTGCTCTAGATTTACTCAGCAAACGATTTAATAACAAGCGTCTCATCTTTCAGGCACATGTCACAGACATTCTGAGCTTGCAGCGTGTCGAGGCCTCATCTGTTTCCCAACTACGGTCCCTTTCGGATACAGTTAATGCCAATCTGCGAGCGTTACAAAGTATGGGGACAAAGGAGCAGATTGCTGACTGCATCCTAATACACAGCCTACTACAGAAGGTGGACAGCGCCACACAAACCAAGTGGGAGGAATGCTCGTCGTTGGATAGCATACCCTCCAGCCAGCAATTCGCCACGTTTCTGGAGCAGAGATGCCAGAGGTTGGAAACCCAAGAGCACGCAAATGATATGTACACCCAGAGCAGTCGGAAACACTGTCTAATCGCAACCAGCTCCAAGGTCTGTACATTCTGCGGTGATCCAGGACACTCCATTTATGCGTGTTCACAATTTGGGAATCTTTCCGCTCAACTTCGGCTTCAGGAAACTAAGAAGCTGTCACTGTGCACCAACTGTCTCCGAGCAGGCCACACGCAGGGTGCATGTCATTCTCGATCCTGCCGAATATGTGGTGCCAGACATCACACTCTACTTCACTTCGAGTCCCCGTCTTTCGGTTCTCAATCCATTCTGCCATCACTGTCACATTCTACATCAGCTCCGCAATTGCCCGCGGGACCCTCTGGCGTTGTACATACTGCAACAGCGTCAGCCACATCGCTTTTGGCCCAGAGTCACAGGCAGGACATCGTTCTTCTTGCCACTGCCATAATCAGCGTAAGGAATCGCTCTGGTACACTCATTCCATGCCGTGCCTTGCTTGATTCTGGATCGCAGGTGCATCTCATTACTTCTCGCCTGGCTCAGCAGTTGCAGCTTCAAAGGAAAGTGTCGGATGTTTTGGTGTCTGGTCTCGGCGAGTCGCGTGCCACATCGGAAGGATGCTGCGTAGATATCAACCTGGAATCACGCACATCAAGCTATGCCACGACCATTTCGGCAGTAGTTGCTCCCACCATTACGTCCAGTCAACCTAACTGCAATATCGACCTAAACAGCTGGAACATTCCCTGCAACACACAGTTAGCGGATCCCAAGTTCTACAAGTCTCAACCTGTGGACATTCTTATTGGAGCGGGACTGTTCTTTGAGCTTCTCTGCATTGGCCAAATCCAATTGGGGAGCTGGTCTGCCACGTCTTCAGGAAACCAGGCTAGGATGGATAATTGCAGGAGAGGTGTCTCAGTCTCGCGCATCAGATCCACGTTCTCCTGTGTTATTTTCAGTTAACCAGTCTAAAGTGCCCCCTCGCACGAGTATTGGACCTCTTCGTCGAGTCAGGCATGGTTTCCGGAGTGGCTATACTAAAGACGTCACCTGGATCAACAAAGGAAATGTGGCTGCCAAAGAAGGATGTTAAAGACCCGTGATCTTCAACGGGGGGAGTATGTTTGGTTACGCAGCCAAATAGTGGCCAAATGCATAGATTATAGCCAGTGGTGCAGCAGTAGAGTAAATCCTTATTATTGTTCGTTGTTTGCACTGCCCACTGTACTAAATTGTCATTTACCTACAAACTCATGCACGCATTCATGCTCCCTCACGGCAGCAGCCTATGCAGCCGTTCTCTTTCGCCTCTTCATCCCACACCTTTCTTTCTATCGCCTTTCGCTATTACTCTCTCGATCTTTCGCTCTCTCGCTCGCATTAGGGCACGGGCAATTCGCCCGCCTGCCCTTTGAATTAGTCTTGATCTTGCAATCACTGCGCATCGTCTTGGAATCGAGCTATTCAATCCGACACCGTCTTGAACCGACCCCCGCGTCTTCAATCTGACCCCGTCTTGAATCCAGCTAACTATCCGTTCGACTCTGTATCGCTTATTTACTTCACCACAATAAACTGTGAATATATATATTGAACAATCATCGCCTTTTTAATAGTATCGCAATACAACGCTACTGAAGAAGCTCAGTAGCTCAACAAAAACTTTTGTAGTACTTTATATTTATTTTTATGGTGTAATTATTTTTTTAGAATTTTTAAAATCTGGTTTTTTTTATACCCGTACTCAAAAAAGAGTTAAGGGGTATGTTAGATTTGTGGTAAAAGTGGATGTGTGCAACGCAGAGAAGGAAACGTTTCCGACCCCATAAAGTATATATATTCTTGATCAGCATCAATAGCCGAGTCTATATAGCCATGTCCGTCTGTCCGTCCGTCTGTCCGTCTGTCCGTCCGTTCTGTCCGTCCGTCTGTCCGTCTGTCCGTCCGTCCGTCTTGATGAGCGCCTGGATCTCAGAGACTATAAGAGCTAGAGAAACCAAATTTGGTTTCCATACTCATGTGATATCACACTGCTACAAGTGTATTTCAAAATTTCGCCCCGCCCCCTTCCGCCCACACAAAGGACGAAAATCTGTGGCAGGCACAGTTTTAAAGATACGATAAAACTAAAACCGCAGTATCGTAGAGAATGCCCATATCTACCAGATTGCCGAATCTGAATCAGATCGGATCATAATTATAGCCAGAATGAAGAAATTAATTTTCAGTTGCTTCCCCTTCCCCACCACCAACAATCGACAACGCAACTCATTTTCCTTCTCGCTCGCACACTCTGCCGCGTTCAGTGCGCGAGCAACCCCTAGCGGAGGAGATGTAGAATCTAATTGGAACATGTACAATCTACATGTTAGATGTAGAATATACATTGTATATGTAGATGTAGATAGCATATGTAGCAAAAAAATGTAAAATGTAAAATTTTTTTTTTTTCTAAAATTCTTTAAAATCATAAGCTCAAAAATGTATATACTGACTGAGTACGGGTATAAGTAGAGTCGCGTCCCCAGAAGCGACTCACACGTTCCTTCTCGTTTTTCTTGGTTTTTTTCAGTGGTAGTGCTTCTATTTTTCACATTACTTTAGTATCTTATATCTTTTTGCAGTTCTGAAAAGCTGACAAACGCAGCTATAAATCCGACCCAGATCTTTTGTATCTGCAGCTTAACGCCTGGAATATATTAAGCTTTCAAATTCAAATTTCATAATTTTTGCGGTATTATTTTTCGAAATTTTGATTTTAAAAACTCGGGAAAAGTCGAAAAAAAAATAATTCTTGGCCAACATTGTTGGTTTTAGATAGACGCATTAATTAGGCGTCGTTAAAGGTATTGCTCATTAAAATCTATGGAGAAACGACTTTCGACTTTTCCCGAGTTTTTAAAGTAAACATTTTGGGAAAAAATAACGCAAAAAAATATGAAATTCGAATTTGAAAGCTTAATATCTTCCAGACTGCTACTGCAGATGGGGAACCCCAATGGCGGCCTTAAGAACTGCAAAGTTTCATTGCAAAAGCAGATATAAAATACTTAAGTTAGTTAAAAAAACCCCCAAAAACATTAAAAAAATACCAGATTTTAAAATATTCTTTAAAAAAAACCAAACCAAAAAAAAAAATCATAATTTGTTAAAAAAATTTAAACCCCAATGTTGAGCTATTGAGATTTTTCAATAGCGTAGAGTTCAACCCACAGTTTGTCTTGATTATGTTAGTTTCTTTATTTTCCATGCAAGGCGAGTGGGAGTAGAATGGGCAAGAGTTAGCAACAGGCGGACCCGTGGTGGACCGTGTTGCAGCGAAAACAATAATGGGTTTTTGTATAAAGGTTAATAACAATGTAGCAGGTCACTGTGCCAACCGACGATATGTTGTACGTTTTATGATGCTAGATTTCGAAGTGTCTCTGCTGCGCAGACGAGCCTCCCTCACAGCCTTCGTCGGCTGACGATTTTCGGGAGGGGGAAAATGACTCAAGAGCGCAGAGTCAGGTAGGCAATGTTGTGAGCTTAGCTCTGCTCTCTTTGCGCTGCCATGGGCCGGCGCTTAGCCGAACATTCTCCCCCCGTTGAAGAGCACGGGTCTTCGACATCATTCTTTGGCAGCATACACAGCTTTGCGATAGCCCTCGTGGTGCTCCCAGTAGCCGTTTTGAGCTCAGCTACCCTGGAAACGCCATCTCTGCCGGCGATCAGTTTCGTCACCCTTCCCAGCGGCCACTTAAGTGGAGGCAAGTTCTCGTTCTTTACGAGGACCACGTCGCCTACGCTGAGGTTAGGCTGCTCAGTCCTCCATTTTGCCCTCTCCTGCAGAAGCGTGAGGTACTCCTCTCGCCAGCGGGACCAGAAAGTCTGCTGCAGGAAGCTGACCTGCTGCCAGCGATCAAGACGATTGAAGTTGAGTCCGGTCACATCTGGTTCCGCGAAGGTACGGATTGGAGCAGTACCTAAGAAATGCGCAGGTGTTAGCATGTCTAAATCGTCAGGATGCTCTGAAATGGGAAGCAATGGCCTTGAGTTTATTATGGCAGTGATATGGCACACAAGCGTTCTCAGGTCATCAAAGCACAGCAAGGAGCTGGAAGCGGAACGATAGAAATGATGCTTGGCTGTTTTAACCGCAGCCTCCCAGAGTCCGCCAAAGTGGGGAGAGCGAGGGGGAATAAACCGCCAGTCAATATGATCCGCAACGCAAAACTCCTGAACTTCCTTCATATGCCTTTCTGCCAGGAACAGCTTCTTCAACTCTGCCAACTCGTTCTTTGCTCCCACAAAGTTGGTTGCGTTATCGGACCAAATTTCCCTGGGCCGACCGCGAGTTAAAATGAATCGCTTTAGTGCGCTTATGAACGCTGGCGTCGATAGATCCTGCACAAGCTCCAAGTGAACGGCCTTGGTGGCAAAGCATATGAAGAGGCATATGTAGCATTTGATGGGTGGTCTGGTCCGCACCTCACTCTTATAAAAGAACGGACCACAAAAATCCACACCGGTGACTGCAAAAACGTACGACGCATTCACACGATCCTTCGGCAAGTCGGCCATAATATGCTGCAGCAGGCGCGGCTTGGCCTTAAAACATCTGGTGCAGCGATTTACGACGCTGGCCACTGTCTTGCGCCCTCCAATCGGCCAATACTCATGCCGAATAAGTGCGAGCAATGACCGAGGCCCAGCGTGCAGATTCTGCTCATGGACATGCACAATTACAGCAGATGTAACGGGATGACGCCTTGGAAGAATGACTGGGTGCCGTGCGTTGAAATCAAGTGATGAATTTTCCAACCGCCCACCGACGCGTAACAAGCCATGGTCATCCAGGAACGGCGCGAGTGACGAGATGGAGCTAGACGACTGCACCTGCTGTTCGTCACGCAGAGTCTTGTAGTCAGGCCACAAATGCACTCGCTGAATCGAACGAAGAAGTATCCGCGTACCACCAACGATGTCAGCTACTGTTAATCCGGACGACCTTTTGCGCTGCAGAAACTTGAATACATATCCAAATGTGCGCTGGATCTTTCCGAAGGAATTGGAGAACTTTCGGCCGTCAGATAAGTCTACGAATGGACAAACTGCAATCAGGACTCTCTTGCGCAACTCCAGTGTTGGCGCAGATTGAATAGACGCTGCTGGCCACAGAGGTTGCTCATCTTGAAGAAAGGGTGGCCCGTGGGCCCAAAGATGCGATTCCAGAAGCTCTGACGGCGAAGCGCCTCTGGACAATATGTCAGCAGGGTTCTGGGCGGTGGGCACGTAGCGCCACTCCATCTGAGCAGTCCGCTCCTGAATGGCTGAGACCCGATTTGCAACGAATACGTTAAAGCTTGATGAGTCATGGCGCACCCAAGACAAGGCAGTTGTGGAGTCCGACCAGCAATAGAAGCTTCCAGTGAACAATTTAAGTTTCTGTATCTCACTGATCAATTGAGAAAGCAAGTCAGCGCCACATAACTCCAACTTGGGCACCGTCAATACCTTAAGAGGGGCGACACGAGACTTCGCACACAGAAGTTGCACGTGCGCGCGATTATTTGTCCTTGACACAACGTAAATACATGCTCCATAGGCATCTAGGCTGGCGTCACAAAACCCGTGAACTTCCACTGTTGAATTGGGGAGAACTGACAGACGAGGAAATCTAAACAGTTGAGGGGTGGACAAACTCTCGCAGAAAATGGTCCACGCTGATGAAAGAGACTCTGGCAGACTCTCATCCCATTGGAGCTGCTCCTTCCATACCAACTGAAGGAAAATCTTTGCCTTTGCGATGACAGGCCCAATCAGTCCTAAAGGATCATAAAAACGAGCAATCGTTGACAACATTGAACGTTTCGTCGGCTTTGATGGCAGCTGCGTGGGTACTACCGAAAAGAGAAAATTATCAGATGAAGGCTCCCAAACCAATCCAAGAGCCTTTGTGAAGTCGGTGCCATCGTCGAACCTTAGCAGCGTTTCCTTATCCTTGTCAGGAATTCCCTCAAGTACGCCAGGGACGTTGGAGCACCATTTCCGAATTGGGAACCTTCCCCGAGCCAATAACTGGGATGTCTGCCTCATCTTTTCGCGCACTTCCTCTACAGATCCTCCTCCAGTCATCAAATCGTCGACATAGAAGTTGGAGGTCAACACTTCCGAGCCAATGGGAAATGCAGCCCTCTCTTCTTCTGCCAATTGGAGCATGGAACGAATTGCAAGATAGGAAGCCGGTTTGGTTCCATATGTTACTGTGTCGAGCTTGAACGCCTTCACATCCTCGTGAGGGGAATCCCTCCATAAGATGCACTGCAGGTAATTGTCCGGCTCAGATACTCGGACACACCTGTACATCTTGCAAATGTCACCAGTCAGCGCAATGAGGAACGTACGAAAACGAAGCAGCGTATGTAGCAGCTTTGGCTGGATAGTAGGCCCCGCCATTAGGACCTCGTTTAACGAAAAACCTGTTGATGTTGTGGCAGATCCATCGAACACAACCCGCAATTTGGTGGTCGTGCTGTCCTCCTTAAACACGCAATGATGCGGTAGAAAATAGCGACAACGACTGAGCAGTTCTGATTCCACCAACGACATATGATTAAGCTCTTGGTACTCCCTAATGAAAGATGCGTACTGAGCCTTCAGCTGCGGACGACGCTCAAGTTTCCGCTCCAAGTTGAGGAACCGCCGATATGCTTGCGTGTATGAGTCGCCCAAGATATCCAAACTTTTCTTGATGGGCAGCTTCACGGCAAACTCTCCAGATGACAGGCGCGAGAAATTTGCTTTGAAGTGATCTTCACAATCGACATCCTCCTGCTTGACCATTACCGAATCTTCAGTGGAACTTTCAACCTCCCAGAAACGCCTCAGTAACAGTTCCACTTGATCAAGAGACTCCTGCCTGGCGTCAGATGAGGCCTGAGCCCCAAGTAAGGCTGTCCTACGCGTTTGCTGACCACCTCCTGAAACCACCCATCCAAGGCGAGTCTTCTGAAGCGATGGCAAGCCAACATCCAATTTGATTTGGCCAATGCACAGCAGCTCGAAGAATAGGCTAGCCCCAATGAGCAGGTCAATACGCTGTGGCCTGAAGAACTGCGGATCTGCCAATGGTAAATTCGGCGGAATTTTCCAACCAGAAACGTCAACTGAAAAGCTGGGCTGCTGCTCGGTGATTGTGGGAGCTACCAACGCGACGAAACTGGTACTGTAGTCAGAGGCTTGGGACTGCAAGTTGAGTCCCACAGTATAGCCCTCCGATACAAAACTGGAATCCCCAAGACCCGATACTGCGGCCGACGACATGGTCCTTTTCAGTCTAAGTTGTTGGGCGAGGCTGGAGGTTATAAGGTGCATTTGTGATCCGGAGTCCAAGAGTGCCCGACATGGTACGAGCGATCCAGCACGATCCCTCAGCAGAACAACTGCAGTGGCTAAGAGCACAACATCCCTGCAAGAGTTCTGTGCAACCAGAGAGGCAGCTGAGGACTGTGGCTGCGCTTCAGGGTGCGGGAATGAAGAGACAACGGGTTCCGTGGGCGAGGGTCTGGCGTTTAAATGCAATAAGGTGTGATGTTTGCTACCACAGTGACGACAAGTTGATGACCTGCAAGTGCGCAATTGATGGCCAGCCTTCAGGCAATTCAGGCAAAGACCAAGCTTTTTCACCTCAATTAGGCGAAGGGACGGCGAAAGATTCCCAAACAGCGCGCATGTATATATGCTATGGCCAGCAGTATTGCAAAATAGACACTCAAGAGAAACAGACTCAGTGGCTACAAATGAACTTCTAGGGTTGCTCTGTACTTTTTTTATCTTTCCCACCTGAATGCCAGGCGTATACATTGCCATAGCGTGCTCCCGATTCTCCAACTTCTGACATCTTTGCTCCAGAAAAGCGGTGAATTGTTGGCTTGTGGGTATGCTGTCCAGCGATGACGTTTCCTCCCACTTGGCTTGCGTAGCGCTGTCCACCTTCTGCAGCAGGCTGTGTATCAAGATACAGTCTGCAATCTGCTCCGTTGTTCCCATACTCTGCAAAGCCCGAAGATTAGAATTCACAGTGTCCGACAAAGACCGAAGTTGCGACACAGACGAAGCCTCTACGCGCGGAACACCCAGAATGTCCGTGACATGCGCCTGAAAAATTAAACGTTTGTTATTAAAACGCTTATCAAGGAGGTCTAGCGCGATGGGATAGCTGGCGTGCGTGAACTCTAGAGACGAAATAGTGTCTAGTGCTGGTCCTTTCAGGCAGGAACGCAGGTGCTGCAGCTTCTCCACATTTGACAAATCGGTATCCTTGTCTATTATGGAGGAAAACATGCTCCAAAACGAGGAATACTGAGCGTAGCCACCACTGAACTCAGGAAGCTTCAACTCCGGCAGGCGTGGCCGACTTTGCACAACGACCGTAGTTGGGGCCTCTCCTACATGGTCCGTCCGCATTGTTGAGCATGGTAGCATTGTGGGCTGCCGCTTGTTTAACTCCCGTTTCATGCGAATCTCCAGCATGACCACGCACTCGTCAAACTCCTCCCTCAAGGGACTACCGATCTCATCGAGATCAATCCTCTCCAGGGCATTATGGTGCTCGTTGAATGAAACTACAAGCTCCGCTAGCAATTTCAGCCTCACGTTCAGCTCCTCCTCACTGAGCTCGCCAATTCTCTCCTTGCCAACGGCCGTTTCGATTCTCCGTGCTGCCCCTACCATGGATTGCACCTTGCGCTTGTAGAATGCAGCTTCCGAATCGACGAACAATGGTGAGGGGGGCAAGAGTGAGGGGGTGCTATTAGAAGCCATTGGGTAGGTTTACGACGCACTGGGTTACAGTTTCTGAAGCACGGAGAGGTTAATAACCGGTGAATAACCTCGAACAGTTTGATAGGAACTGCACACTCGATCGCAGCGCTCAAACACACGGGCTCACAGTTCTACAGGCCAGCAGCGAAAGTTCACAGTTTTAAAAGAACTGAGTAGGTGCAGCTGACAACAACAATGGCATGCACACTTAGAGCACCGAAAACCGAAACGAAACAACCGCAAGACAAACCGCAAAGCAGATGACGCGAGAACCGTTTATGTTGCTTGTGCAGTGCACAGACGCCGAATCGAAAAACCGTGGTACAAAGCGAATTAAACAACCGACAAGTGTTATTTGCAAGGCATATATATGTGTATATATATAAATATATATCGATTAGATCACGTTGGGGTCACCAAAATGTTGAGCTATTGAGATTTTTCAATAGCGTAGAGTTCAATCGACAATTTGTACTTTGATTAATTCACAACACAGTTTGTTTGATTATGTTAGTTTCTTTATTTTCCATGCAAGGCGAGTGGGAGTAGAATGGGCAAGAGTTAGCAACAGGCGGACCCGTGGTGGACCGTGTTGCAGCGAAAACAATAATGGGTTTTTGTATAAAGGTTAATAACAATGTAGCAGGTCACTGTGCCAACCGACGATATGTTGTACGTTTTATGATGCTAGATTTCGAAGTGTCTCTGCTGCGCAGACGAGCCTCCCTCACAGCCTTCGTGCGGCTGACGATTTTCGGGGAGGGGAAAATGACTCCGAAGCGCAGAGTCAGGTAGGCAATGTTGTGAGCTTAGCTCTGCTCTCTTTGCGCTGCCACCCCCCCCACCCCCGAAACCTAAGAAAAAGTTCTTTTGGGCCGCAGGTTAATTCTAGTGTTGACTAGTGTAATTGGTGAAATCTATTGCATATATTCATAATATTCATATCGTCATTAATCAGTTATTGGCACTAAAAAACCTGCACAAGTTTTTGCGAACTAGTTAACTAAATATATCAAGCTCAGGTGAACTTCCTGATTTTCACCAATTATTAATTTTTTAACAGTAACTAAAAAAAAAATAAAAATACCTTATTATCAATATGAACTAGTTTCTAAATTTCCATATTATTAGAAAAAACCGTCGAATTCAATTTTACTTAATGTATATTTACCCAAAAATTTGTATTTTCTTTTCGTGGTAGCAACCCCCAAACACTAAACTAAAAGTTGAAAAAAATTGTACAATTTTATTGTATAACAAAGAACAGAAATGGGGGTGTCCCACAGTGGTCGATTCTGCCAATCTGGCAGGCAATAATTAATAACTCAAAAGATAAATGAGTAACATTTTTAAAAATATTTTTGTATTGTGGAATATAAATCCGCGGGAATATTTAAATAAATTTTAAAGTTTTATTTTTTAACTTAAAAACTTTTAAAAATAAATTTAAAAAAAAAAATAATTTTTTTTTATTTTAAAACTAGCTGACCCGGCGACTCGTACCGCCTAACAGTCAATGAATGTCGTGTTCAAGCACTTTGTGGTAAATGACATTCTTTTTTTTTGGTCAGGCGCAAGAACAAATAAAGCGGATGGTTTGCCGACACGTGAGCATGCCACGTACAATTGACCATGAGAAAAACATGCATTTTCTAGATTGAGGCCACAAATAGTCAAGGATTGGCCCTGTGATTTGTTGATCGTCATGGCGAAGGCAAGACGAATCGGGAATTGTATTCGTTTAAACTCAAAGGGCATATCCGTTGGGATCATCGGAATCCTTGGAATAAGAACTTCATCATCTTTAAATTTTCCTTTAAGTATCGACGCGTGAATCACATTGCTCATCAGTTTTCTTATCACCAAACGCGTTCCATTACACAGTTTTGGTTGGTTTAAATTTCTAAGCATGATGACTACCGAGCCAACTTTAAGTTTTAAATTGTGCGGTGGTAAACCAGGCACATCCAAAGAGTTTAAAAATTCAGTTGGATAATTAGTGGCTTCTTCTTCGTTTGTTACACAGTCGATAGATTTGAATGAATACAGAGTACCTACGATTTGATTTTGAATTATAAAATTGAGGTCATCTACATCTTTATTTTTAGCGGCCAAAATTGCTCGCTCACTTAACCATTTAGTATTTTTGTGGTTAGCAATGATATCCGGGAATACTTTGTTGATAAGCTCGTATTTTGATGATACGAAATTGCAAAAATTTGGAGGAAATGAAATTAAAACCGCTCGATTTGTCAACAGGAACACGGCCATTACCGATAGTCAGCAATTGCTTCGAGAAATCATCAGCAGATAGATCGTTCAACAATACAACTCTTATATTTACAGACAGTTGAAGTTTCTTTACATATCAAATAGCAGAATACATCTTAAAAACAATGAAAACTCGATATGTGTAATGAATACTTAATCATTTCAATAGATGCTGATTTGTTTATAATATGTCAAACATTTGTTGTCCAATCCTGTCCAATAGTGTAACAACTATTTTTTTTTTTTGGAGCTTATGGCCTGGTTGCTGAGACCTTTAAGCCACAACTTTATTTTTTTCTGAAGACATCATGTGTTCCAGCTGGTCTTTTATCTGCTCTGATCACAACTTTATAGTCATCACTTGGCATGCGCTCTAAAGCAGTCTTGAACAGCCTGACCAATGCATGATGTTCATGAAGCATTTGCTACAGATCTTGGAGAATTGCTCTTTTCATAGCTGTGTTGATTCCTTGACGCCGGTCAAGTTGTTCTTCCATATTGCCCATGAAGTATATTTGCAAGAATTTATGCTGTGCATCTTCTATAGGTTACAATGATCCAATGCGATGGCAAATCTGGCCTTGAATCTGTAAAGTCAAAACCATAGTTATAGTTAGATTTACAAACACTTTTTTACAAACACTTTTTTTTCAAATAATAACATGCCATTTTTATTTCAGAGACAAATACAGAAATCTAACAAACTACATTCCAGATTTTTTTTTCAATGATAGAAAATAAAGTTTTTAACGTAAATTACCTTAAATGTCGGATTATATCCATGTTCTTCGATAATTTCCGCCCCAAATGAAGTCATTTGGAAACAGACATTGTATTTTTGAGTGTTCGCTAGAAAATGTCGTGATTCTAGTGTTTCGCCATAAAGCAGGGAGCACAATGGCTCTGGTGGCGGGACCAATAATGGCAATTTCACTTTACCACTAAGGCAGCACAAACCAGGCGTTTCACCAGCAAACTTCAATGCTCCACAATGCTGGCAAACAACGTCCATTGGACCAATGCAAACTAAACGATGCAAGCTGTAGTCGATGGTGCAATCATACAGAAACGCTGCTCGATTCAAATCAATACTTGAACCATTTCTTCTTGCACTTCGAAGATTATTCCTCTGTTCATCTATACGATAAGCTCGACGATTTCTCGTTTCTAACCTAGCCGTTTCACGGGCTGCCTCTCTTTGCTCTTGTGTTTGAGAAGCACGAATTAAGGCCCTTCTTTGCTCCATACTAACGCGGCGCTGTTCTCGTGCAATTTCTCGTTCTCCATCAGATAATTGACTCGCGATATTCCGTTGCCTAATTGCATTACTGCTTCGCTGGGAAAGATTAGATCTTCTAGGACGCGGCATTGTTATTAAAATGTGCACTCGCATTAAACCACCAAACTGATTTTTTATTCCCTAAATTCCGTTCCTTTCCGATGATTTTATGCTTTTACTGTAGAATAAATCTTAGGTATTATTTTCGGGAATTAAAAATTAAATAATTAATAAATAACACTACTCGACAAAATCGAACTTGTTTTTTCCTCAAGGATCCAAACCGACTTTTTCTGATAGATATGGGGATTTAAAATTTTTTAAAGAATTATGGTTTTTTTTCTATGGCAGAACTTTTTTTTGGTCTGGTATTTTTTTTAAAGCTTTTTTCAAGGTAGCGCTTGTTTTTTCACATAGCTCTAGTATCTTACGTCTGGTTGTAAAGAACTTTGCTATTTTGAAAAGATAATTAAAACAGCTAGAAGTTAAGCCCAAACACTTTGTGATTACAGCTTACCGTCTGGGAAATATAAAGCATTGAAATGCAAAAATGATGTTGTGCTGTATTTTTTACGAAATTTTGACTTTAAAAACTCAGGAAAAGTCGAAAAAAAATTATATCCTGTGTCCTCTATTTTTTTGTGTATAGGTGCATTAATTTGGCGTCGTTCAAGGTATCGCTCATTAAAATCTATGGAGAGACTTTGGAGCTAAAATTCGTTAGCTAAACCTAAAATAGGGAAAAAATGAACAAAAAATACCTTTTGGAAGGTTGCGAGCTCAACTGCCCATTGGGAATTGGGATCGCGATCAGGTACCAAATGTACAACCCTTTTTCGTTTGCTTTGTTCCCAATTGGCAGTTGAGCTCGCAACCTTCCAAAAGGTATTTTTTGTTAATTTTTTCCCTATTTTAGGTTTAGCTAACGAATTTTAGCTCCAAAGTCTCTCCATAGATTTTAATGAGCGATACCTTAAACAACGCCAAATTAGTGCACCTATACAAAAAAAAATAGAGGATACAGGATATAATTTTTTTTTCGACTTTTCCTGAGTTTTTAAAGTCAAAATTTCGTAAAAAATACCGCACAAAAATAATAATTTTTGCATTTCAATGCTTTATATTTCCCAGACGGTAAGCTGTAATCACAAATAGTTTGGGCTTAACTTCTAGCTGTTTTAATTATCTTTTCAAAATAGCAAAGTTCTTTACAACCAGACGTAAGATACTAGAGCTATGTGAAAACAACAAGCGCTACCTCTGAAAAAAGCTTTAAAAAAAATACCAGTTTTCAAAAATACTTCAAAAAAAAGTTCTGCCATAGAAAAAAAAAAATATCATCAAACCATTTCTAAGCCCCAAATCTTTAAGAAAAAGTTCGTTTTGTTTCTTGAGGAAAAATCGTGTTGACTAGTGTAATTTTCGAAAATTAATGTCTAAAACAAACAAATATAACAGTACCTAAACTTTGTTGACATTTTACAAAAAATAAATTTCTGAACGCACACATGATGTCTTCAGAAAAAAATAAAGTTGTGGCTTAAAGGCCTCAGCAACCAGGCCATAAGCTCCAAAAAAAAAAAAATAGTTACACTATTTGACAGGATTGGAAAACAAATGTTTGACATGTAATAAACAAATCAGCATCTATTGAAATGATTAAGTATTCATTACACATATTTTTTATGTTTTCATTGTTTTTAAGATGTATTCGTCTATTCGGGACGGAAACAAATCCAACAAATCAAAAACCATGGCAATCGGTCCAGCCGTTCTCGAGTTATAAGTGTTATAACAAACACGACTTTCTTTTATATATATAATATATAGATATAGATATTATAAAATGTTTTTATAAACACTTTATATTAATAAAAAAAAGTATAGGTCAAAATTAAAACTTATGGTCTGTTTTTTGAAGTATTTTAAATTTCTGCTGCACACTTCACTCAGAGGCAAAATTAAAAATTTTTTTTTATTCGCTAACAATCAGTTTCGCTGAGTTTGTTTTTATCAATTATCAATTATTTGAGCGAAAACATTGATCCAACTCGCTTCAGCTTTTTTTCTTACTCAGTTTTATACGAAACATCGCGAAAAGCGTGCTTTTTGACACTGCCATTTTCCCTATAAAATCAAATAAATTAACGTGTGGCACGTAGTTGCAATTTGTTTCAACACAGAAGATTAAAAAAAGACTGGTTTCATAAAGAGAAAAAGATTGAAGGCGAATATGGGCGGATGTCAAAAGATCTATTCCATGCAAGTGCCGGGTATGTTATTAATAGCACACTAAAGGAAATGTTAAGTTCTACAACGATTTACCATTAATACATGTAAGCACAGGACCAACACATATATTTTTTATTGAATACTTACCAGCTATGATCAAAATGTATGGTAATTTTAATACAAATCGCAAAACATTAAGATTTATTTTGTTTTACCAAAAGCCATAAAAAGGCGGTAAAATGTACTTAGGTATGGACAGAAAAGTTTTCTGCGATTCCGTAAGATTTCGTATGCAGGTACTAGACTATCGATAGGAAAATTAATGCACCTATACACAAAAAAATAGAGGACACAGGATATAATTTTTTTTCGACTTTTCCTGAGTTTTTAAAGTCAAAATTTCGTAAAAAATACAGCACAACATCATTTTTGCATTTCAATGCTTTATATTTCCCAGACGGTAAGCTGTAATCACAAAGTGTTTGGGCTTAACTTCTAGCTGTTTTAATTATCTTTTCAAAATAGCAAAGTTCTTTACAACCAGACGTAAGATACTAGAGCTATGTGAAAACAACAAGCGCTACCTCTGAAAAAAGCTTTAAAAAAAATACCAGTTTTCAAAAATACTTCAAAAAAAAGTTCTGCCATAGAAAAAAAAAAAAATATCATCAAACCATTTCTAAGCCCCAAATCTTTAAGAAAAAGTTCGTTTTGTTTCTTGAGGAAAAATCGTGTTGACTAGTGTAATTTTCGAAAATTAATGTCTAAAACAAACAAATATAACAGTACCTAAACTTTGTTGACATTTTACAAAAAATAAATTTCTGAACGCACACATGATGTCTTCAGAAAAAAACGAGAAGGAACGTGTGAGTCGCTTCTGGGGACGCGACTCTACTTATACCCGTACTCAGTCAGTATATACATTATTGAGCTTATAATTTTTTAGAATTTTAGAAAAAAAAAAAAATTTTACATTTTACATTTTTTTGCTACATCTGCTATCTACATCTACATATACAATGTCTATTCTACATCTAACATGTAGATTGTACATGTTCCATTCATATTCTACATCTCCTCCGCTAGGGGTTGCTCGCGCACTGAACGCGGCAGCGTGTGCGAGCGAGAAGGAAAATGAGTTCCATTGTCTTGAACGGGAGGGGGAGGGGAAGCAACTGAAAATTAATTTCTTCATTCTGGCTATAATTATGATCCGATCTGATTCAGATTCGGCAGTCTGGTAGATATGATCATTCTCTACGATACTGCGTTTTTAGTTTTATCGTATCTTTAAAAATGTGCCTGCTACAGATTTTCGTCTTTTGTGGGGGCGGAAGGGGGCGGGGCGAAATTTTGAAATACACTTGTAGCAGTGGGATATCACATAAGTCTGGAAACCAAATTTGGTTGCCCTAGCTCTTATAGTCTCTGAGATCTAGGCGCTCAACAAGACAGACAGACAGACAGACGGACAGACAGACATGGCTATATCGACTCGGCTATTGATGCTGATCAAGAATATATATACTTTATGGGGTCGGAAACGTTTCCTTCTCTGCGTTACACACATCCACTTTTACCACAAATCTAATATACCCCTTAACTCTTTTTGAGTACGGGTATAATAAAGTTGTGGCTTAAAGGCCTCAGCAACCAGGCCATAAGCTCCAAAAAAAAAAAATAGTTACACTATTTGACAGGATTGGAAAACAAATGTTTGACATGTAATAAACAAATCAGCATCTATTGAAATGATTAAGTATTCATTACACATATTTTTTATGTTTTCATTGTTTTTAAGATGTATTCGTCTATTCGGGACGGAAACAAATCCAACAAATCAAAAACCATGGCAATCGGTCCAGCCGTTCTCGAGTTATAAGTGTTATAACAAACACGACTTTCTTTTATATATATAATATATAGATATAGATATTATAAAATTTTTTTATAAACACTTTATATTAATAAAAAAAAGTATAGGTCAAAATTAAAACTTATGGTCTGTTTTTTGAAGTATTTTAAATTTCTGCTGCACACTTCACTCAGAGGCAAAATTAAAATTTTTTTTTTATTCGCTAACAATCAGTTTCGCTGAGTTTGTTTTTATCAATTATCAATTATTTGAGCGAAAACATTGATCCAACTCGCTTCAGCTTTTTTTCTTACTCAGTTTTATACGAAACATCGCGAAAAGCGTGCTTTTTGACACTGCCATTTTCCCTATAAAATCAAATAAATTAACGTGTGGCACGTAGTTGAAATTTGTTTCAACACAGAAGATTAAAAAAAGACTGGTTTCATAAAGAGAAAAAGATTGAAGGCGAATATGGGCGGATGTCAAAAGATCTATTCCATGCAAGTGCCGGGTATGTTATTAATAGCACACTAAAGGAAATGTTAAGTTCTACAACGATTTACCATTAATACATGTAAGCACAGGACCAACACATATATTTTTTATTGAATACTTACCAGCTATGATCAAAATGTATGGTAATTTTAATACAAATCGCAAAACATTAAGATTTATTTTGTTTTACCAAAAGCCATAAAAAGGCGGTAAAATGTACTTAGGTATGGACAGAAAAGTTTTCTGCGATTCCGTAAGATTTCGTATGCAGGTACTAGACTATCGATAGGAAAAATATATAAAAATAGCAATAAATATCAATGGGATGTTTACTTTCCAAAAAGTAAAAAAAATTAATAAGATTCGACATTTTAATTTTTACTCAAAAAAGAGTTAAGGGGTATATTCGATTTGTGGTAAAAGTGGATGTATGTAACGCAGAGAAGGAAACGTTTCCGACCCCATTAAGTATATATATTCTTGAACAGCATCAATAGC